CACAAACACACTAACACAGAAGTGAAACCCTCAACCCCCTTTGATGTTCTGGTTAAAATGACCTTAATGTTTGGAACTAGAACCTGCTGACCCAGACAGAACCAGAACCTGAACCTGAACCAGAACCAAGCCACTGTGAAGTTTTATTCAAATGTTTTCACATGGCCGGTCCGACTGGTCTGGTTCTGTCGGGTTCTGCTGCAATGAGTGCGGTTCTGTACCTGGTAGTAGGTTCTGATGTGCCGGGTCAGAACCGTGAGGTTGTAGAGGCGCAGCGACACGTCGTTGTTCACGTTTTTGTTCAGCCTCTGATTGGTGGGGCTGGGGTCACTATGGAAACAGAGACAGAGAGATCAGACGCTCCACTCAGGACAGGAACGCCCCCACGCCGCCCCCATCCAGACTACGCCCCGGGCGGAGAACAATGGCCTGACTGTCCTCATTCTGCCGGAGGCACAGCATCCAGATGCAACCTGCAGGGGGCGCTGCTACCGTCTGCTGCCAGCAGGGGGCGCTGCAGCAGCAACTGGCCGTTCTGCTTGGACATTCAGCTGTCACTGTTAGCTCAACATGCTAACAGTGCCTTTGTCGTGCTAACTGTAACGTTAGCGTGCTCGTGCTGACTCTACCATGCTAATACTTAATGCATAGTGCCAATTGTAGCTTTAGCATGCTAATGCTAAGTCTAACATGCTAATTCCGATGCCTGTCAGAGTTAAATGTTTGTAAACATGGGGCTGTAACTGACCTGGGTTATTAGCGTCCCTGTATTGCTGCTAACAGCTCCGGTTCTGATCCATTTTGCTAAATGATGAACATCTTAAGACCCAGATTGGTACCGGGCGCATTTCATTCAACTTGCTTTTCCTCTTTTAAAAAAACTGTGTGCTCCTAATTTTTTTACTTTCAGATATTTGTTATGGTGCGTAACCATGGCAACAAGGAACTGCTTTACAACAGATAGTTAGCATCTCATCTGAACTCTGACCCCAAATCCCACAGGAGCTGTAAAGGAGGAATCATGGATGCCGCTCCCCTGCAGAGGAGCGGCAAAAGCAAAGGAGCTGGATTAGCAGAGCTAGCTAACAGCTGATGGAGCCATCCTGGACGTGTTGCTGTTAGTGTGTTAGCATGAGACTGTCATTCAGTCAGAGGCCTCATCAGATTTGTTGTGAGACTGACTGCTGCTGGAGATCCTGGTGGCCCACAGCATCACTTTCCACAACTGTTTGAAGAAACATGGATGATCTCAGTTACAACATTAATTTGATCAATAAAGGATTTCTGAATTGAACTGAAAACTACGCAGAACCAAAGTTCAATTCTTTGTGGCCAAATGGACTAATACAAATCTAGTGCTGATGGTGGATTCTCAGATTAGAGGCGATAATCCAGCTTCATTTCAGCCTCAGACTGATGATTATTATTAGCAGGAAAACGATGAGCAGAGAAACATCTGGTGTGGCGCCTGAGGCAGGATGTGGTTGCTCTGTCACGCTCTCTCACTCACAGAGACACTTACCTGTCACGCACAGGAAATCCTGAACTGACTGATGAACTCAGAGCAATGAGAGCAGGCTCCGCCCCTTTAAACATCTCCCTTCTATGCTCCGCCCCTTTAGTCCCCTTCCCTCTATGCCCCGCCCCTTTAGTCCTCTCCCCTCTATGCCCCGCCCCTTTAGTCCTCTCCCTTCTTTGCCCCACACCTTCCCCATGAGGTACTCACATGTGGGTCATGACCTTATGCAGGAAGACACCATCCACCAGCTCCATGAACATGGCGACCCGCTCCTCGGAGCCCAGCGGACCCAGCATGCGCACCTGGAGACACACAGGACAGGTGAGCACACCTGGAGGACAGGTGAAGGCTGGCTCCTCCCCTTCCTGTCTGCCTTCAGCCTGACAGCGGACCTGGTGGGTCGCCTGGGCCCAACCAGCTGCTCCAGAACTTCATCTGACCACGCAGAAAAACTGCTTTAGCGTTGCCTTCAAACCCCGCCCCACTGATGATGTCATGGCTTTGTCAGCTTCTGATTAATTCACTGCAACTGAGCTAAATGGAGGAACAGCAGTACCTGGACCTCCAGCGGTCTGGTTCTGTTTAGGTCCAGATACCTGAAAGAGCTGCATCACCTGGTCCGGTACAACCAGGGATTCCCCCAGTGTATTATCAGCCTGGCGGGCCGCCATGGTTTACGTTCTCCCTGCCAGGCTAAGCGTTGTGTGTTTTTATTTTTTAATAGGACAGACTGCAGAATTATTCCTGTCAGAAAGATGGGTTTATAGTTTTCATAGGTTTATAAATTGATGCATTGGACAGGGAGCGCACCAATCAGACCGCCGCCTCGCGCGCTGTCGTGGCTTGATCTCTGAAGTTTAGCTCACTGCAGATCGCTCATATTGGCTCACCTATATGGACATTTATATCAATATCTCATGTGAGGATGAGGATCCATTTGCTCTGCTGGTGCAGCTCTGTATGAAGCTCCGATGTCCACACTGAGCTGTGCTCCGTGTTCACAGGTGCACATTTAGAGGTGCGTGTTGAGCGTGCAGTGAGAATATTTCTTTTTGAACAAAGCATTATATGTGGTGTGTGTGTTTATGTCTCAAAATGCTGACTGTCTGCGGTGATAAACTTTGAGTTCCCGGTTAGCCGGTGCGTTACGGACCGTGGAGGAGCTTTCTGACTAGCGCAGCACACTGGTTTGTTTTTATTTTCTATCAAATGCTTGCTCTACTTAAAATCAGATAGAGTTGCTGCGCGGTCAAGTAGAGAGCAACTCGGCCCATCAAGCTCTGGCAACCAAACCAGTCTCTGTGGCGCTTATTAAAACTCAACAGACACGAATTAAAAGAGCTACTAAAGCTGCATAAATTAAATCTCCCGTTTGTCCCTCTACATCCAGCTGCAGAGATGTGCAGTGCAGTGGGTCTAGCTTCATACAGGGCCGGTCCAAGGTTGAATGAGACCTGGAGCAGAATTTGACATGAGGGCCCCTCTTGCTGCTAAGAATATGAGCACCACTAACAGCATTTCACCATGGGGCCCAGTTTACCTGGCTGAGCAGGCAAATGTAACTGTAGTTTACTAAGATGCATTAATGAATAGCTAAAATTCAAAGATTAAACTGACAGCGTCAGACTGTTGCTACGGTAACAAAACAATCTAATTATGTAGATTGTTCTTTGAACTTTTACAAAGTAAACTTGCCAGCTCCTTAAAATCTTAAATTTAAATAATTAAACATTTTAAAATCTTTTAATTTATCTATACTGAAACCATTAAATCAAATTTAACAGCATTGATATTCTCTTAGTTCGCTTATGCCTTGGGCCGGCTCTAAATGTGATCAGCATTGCATCGTGTTTTTAGATCCACTGACTGATGACTTAATTTGGATTTGACACAAGTGCAAATAATTGATATTTATTTTGATTGTGTTTTTATTTGTTGTTTTTATAGTTGTGGGTTTAAGTATCGGCCATGTCTTCCAGTAACATAATTACCCAGCAATATTTTACGTTTCCTGTCAACTTATCAAACCCCGCGGACTTTTTTCTGGGGGAAACCCAGACAGACATCATGGTTCTGGTCCAAAAGGAGCAGACTGAGCCCAGATCAGAGACCTGTGTCCTGAACGGCCACTCGGTAACAGAGGTCCAGCTGCGAAGGGAACCGGTGCTGGTTCTGGGCAGAGCCGGGTCGGGCCAGATTCACGTGCTGGAGATCAGGACGAACATTTACTGGCTGGACTAGTTAACCCAGACTAGTTAGTAAGTAGTTAATCTGTATTATGTAGAAAATGGTTAACCCAGACTAGTTAGTGGCAGGTTAACCTTCTCTAGTTGGTTCCTGGTTAACCCAGGCACCTGACGCAGCAGGTAGACTCACCCACAGCACCAGCGGAGACTCCATGAAGGAGGCCAGCAGCTCGGACAGGGTCACATCCATGCTTGGTCATCAATCACTCATCAATCCGCCGATCGATCCGGATCAAAGCATCGGCACCCCCCCCCCCCCCCCCCCGTCCCCCCCCCCCCCGTCCCCCCTCCCCTGCGCACGAGCTCCGCAGTAGCTACTATTGTCTGTCCGGGTCCCCACGGTAAGTCCGAAAAGTGGAGGAAAGGCGGGTAAAAACCAGCTGGACCGGGTCGGAACCTCCCTCACAGAGGTTTTTCTAAAGTTCTGGAGTAGGTTCCGTTAGTTTCGCCGCTAAATTACAGCGTTTCTATTGCTGATGGTAGGCAAACACTTGATCCAAACTTCGCTCGGATAGTTGATTGTGTTGCCAAGGAAACACAAATCAGACCGTAAAGAGATAAAAAAAAAACGCTGGAAAGTTAGAAAATACAAAAACTCCGATGAGAAAACAGTGAAAGTCTTCAGCAGAACCGGGTCAAAGTACTTTCTCCCGTCGTCTCCATCCGGACCAGCTCCTCGCCGCTCCAACTGTCTCCATCAACCTGCGAGACCCGAGAACACAGGGAAGGCAAACCGACGGTACGAACAGCCAATCAGCGGCCGGCCGCAGCGCCAACTCCCGCCTTTTCTCTGAACCAACCAATGAAGAAGAGGGTGTTTAACACTGAGGCTGACGTCACCATCGGGCAGAGTGCAGCCGAAGAGGAGGGAGCAAGATGGTGACCGTCCCGCGCAGGAAGCGGCGCTTATTTTAATCTCCCATTGGTTTTGCTGATGGTTTTTATATTTCCTGTTTTTATGACTGTCTTAATGATTTTTAGTGAACTTTTACAGTTATAAATTTTACTGTTCCCTTTCTAACCTTTTAGTTTACATGTTGTAATTTTTCTTAATCGTATATTTGAAATATGCACACAGAACAAGAGTCAGACTTATGTTTTAGTTATTTTATAGGACTTAATATTTTCTGCGTATGTATTTTATTTTAATATCTCTAAAGTGTACTTGTGCACATTCTCAGCACATTCATTCGACACACCTCCACTTTAGTCATTGAGAGGAGAGAACATCCCATAATATCACAGATCAGGTGGGGAACAGTGTTTTCCAGGGTTTTTCCTCCAGACAGCGTCGGTCACCACAGTGGCAATAAAACGAGCGTGTTGGTGGCAGGTACTTCTCTTGTTCTAAACTCTGATTCGTCTGAATAGTTTGAAAAGGAAACCAGAGATCAGCTCAGATCGAAGGTCAGATGCAAATATGCAGCAATGAAGGCCGGCCCAGCAGGGTGTGTGCAACAAACACTGGGTCTACTTTCTATCCCAGGAACTGTAGAACCGATTCCCGGCTCCGGAGCCGGGATCTGGTTCAGTCTGAATGAGTTTGATCAGCGGACAGGAACCCTACATCACTGACATCCTGTGACACAAACTCATCTCAAAGTTCAGTGATGCAGCGAGGAAAACCACTGATCACACGTGGCGCCAGTAAATAGGATGACAGCGCCACCCCCTGGTGAATGCGGAGTACTACAAAATCAACTCTTGAAGCGGCATAAAATCTACTGCAGTTTGTTCCAGACTGACCCGAGATTCAGCGAGTCTGTGAAGACTCCTGGTCCGACGGTACCGCTGCTGGTCCACCTGGGTCAAATGTTCTGGACTCAGAAATCAGAGGATGGGAGTAGCGGGCGTCTCCATGGCAATAAGCCTTCAGCACTCTGGGGCAAACACCATCTGGACCTGCAGCCTGGTTCCGGTCCAATCTGCCCAGACGCCTCTTCACCTGTGAATTGAACTGGTCCAGTTCACTGAACTGGTTCCTGAAGCTCCTGTTCTAATGTGGACTACAAGATGCTTCTGTAGACTCAACAATAAACTGCGTTTCATTGTTAATGAATTTTGTTCAGGCACTGATGAGGTCAGCTGAGGGGGGGGGGGTATCGACTTTTTTGGGGACAAAATGAATGTACGTAGTTGAAAATAGACACCAACATCGGTAGCCTACAAGGTACTTGTTAAGCTAAAGGTTCTGTATTGATGTTAGCTAGTCATCATTTAGCTAACATTACCTGCATCCAGCAGCTTTACTCAACTCAGTCGGTTAGTTTGGAGGGAAAAACTGTGAAAAGTTCTTTGCGTTTTGCTGCTGTGATTCTAACACAAACCTACGTAGCTCCGCACAGCAGCAGCAGGTCTCCTTCACAGGTGGAAACCCAGCGCGAGCGTCGTAGCGCTCATGTTGCGTTTAAAGGCGGCTCGGAAAAACAGGTTACAACATGTTAACAACGGATTAAACAGTTTTAACTGCTGATAAAAGTGACAGAGGACACAGATATGGGAAGTGTGGAAGAATCTACTGTATCAAATTGACAGGAATAACAGAGAGTTGGCCATTCAAAGGTAAAAACCCACCGCATACAGTGTTCATGTTTTGTTTTTTTTTCCATCCAGACGGCTTCCCGCTGGGGCGCGCCCCACAGTTTGGGAACCTCTGGAGTAGGGGATTCAGATCTGTTGACCCCTGGTTGGAGCAAAGCCATCTCGTTGCTATGGTTACCTAGAGTACCTGCCAGCCATAGGGAAGGTGAACAGGATGATAATCTACCAGATTTAATCTCTGATGTCGCTCAGGTCAGGTCTTTCAGTTGTTGAACTAGCTCAGGTGAGGTCATGTGACCTGCAAAGGAATCACCTGCCCCACTGAGGGAAAAACAAAAACCAGCAGCCAATCAGATTCTAGCAATTCTCTATTTATTCCTTCATTGTGAATATCAAAACAGGAAACAGTTTAAGAGGTGATTTCAGAAGAAAACGATTTACATTCAATGTGCTTCACTTAGCCCCGCCCCCACAGTCCTCCTGGACCAATAGAGTGGGTCATGGTGGAAACCTTCCATCTTATTGGTGCTTTGTGAATTTCATAAGTCTATAACAATATTACAAATATATAAAGACTCTAGAGCACAGCGGACACAGATACTGCAGTCAGGTTCTACTGTAGGTCAGGATAATACTGCACTGTCCTCTCTCACACACACACACACACACACACACGCACACACACACACTAACCAGACAACACACCCTGAGGCTTTCCTTCAGCCTCAGTGAGACCAGGAAGACCCAGAGGAAGAACCAGTCCATCTCCAGTCTGGCCAGTATGAAATTGGCCTCTCTGGGTTACAAAGTAACTACCAACTGGATGAAACCAGGACCTCCCAGTTCAGCGGTTCTGGTTCAGAGTTCATCCTAGACCAGTTCTCTGGTTGTGGATGTTAAGCCTCAAAGACAGAACCTGAAGCTACGTCCACTGGGATCTGCATTACCTGGAGGAGCCAGCAGGGGGTTAGAAGCCACCTGGAGGCCATGTTTGTTTTCTATAGGTGAAACCGACTGGACTTGGACCGGTTCTGGTCCAGCTTCTGATGGGAGGTCCGTGGCGGCCACAGCTTTACCTCTGGGTGAACTGTTCACAGGTTGCTATGGGAACCCCAGAAGAGTAGGAAATCACCATAGCAACCAGTGACTCAGCAGTTTCCCCGACCAATAGAATCAGTTCGTAATTACATCATGGGGGGCGCTAGAGAGCAGAGCTGCTGAGGAAGTGATGTTTACACAGAACACCAGGGGGAGCTTCCAGGAAGGGTCCAGAGTTCAAACAGGAAGTAGAACCGGGTCTCGGACCAGGTTGGCTGCATGAAGGAAAATATCAACTTCCTGTTACTGTAGGGTCAGGTTCGCAGGAAGTGGGAAAGATATTTAAATAAACTTAAATACATTTATGACAAATCAAGAATGGGTCTGACAAGAATTTACACAAAAAATACAAAGGTTTTTGAAAGAAAAATCATTTTCTAGAACAATTTCTCAGGAAATTTGGGTTTAGAGAGTTTTGTTTACATTTACCTTTGTTGATTTAGTTGTGTTTTCTGTGATTTCTGGTTTTGAATAAAGAGCTTTGGCTCATTCAGGAAAACTGGAGGAAATATTTTCTGCTCTGAACATCAAATTTCACAACTTTCAGCTTCAAAAATGTGCTCAGGTTTTTCTGTGATTTTGTGTAGAAATATAATTCCTAATGCTGAGAAGGTTAGATTTCAGGACCAGGTAGTGCAGCGTTTACTGTGTGACCTGTGATGTCATCAGCGCAGCCAGGAGCAGGGCACCCACTGCGGCTCCGTGTCCAGCTTGTTGATGAGGCGCAGCAGCTCGCCGTACGCCCGGTCCGGGTCCGTGTTCACGATGACCGCGTCGAAAAGATGGCCACAGCTCTGCTCCATCTCGCGCGCCTTCTCGATGATGTCACGCAGCTCCTCAGGCTGCAAACACACAGGGGTCAGGGGTCATGGTTCAGGGAGCGGAACCGGTACCGGAACTAGAACCAGAGCAACCTTGGGGTTCTTGCCGTCCTTCAGCAGCAGCGCTCTCAGCCGCTCCTGGGACGGCGGGGCGATGAAGATGATGTAGGGCTTCAGGTCGGAGCTGCGCAACACCTTCAGGGCCTGGGGGTGGGGGCAGAGGGTCAGAGGTCGCCTGGGCCTGGCGAGGCGGCAGCAGCAGAGCGCCACCTACCTGTGTGTGCAGACACAGCAGGCAGATCTTCCCGGCGTTGATGACCTGCCGCACCGAGTCGCTGCTCGTCCCGTACAGGTTCCTCTCAAACTCGCCCGACTCGATGAGCTTCCCTGGAGAGAGAGAGGGACCCGAGGACCCGTTAGAGGACGGGCTCTTCACCCTGTGACCCTGGGGCCATTTGCATATTTACCATCTGGGTTAACCAAACTGACCTGGCTCTTGTTCCATTTTAAAAATCAAATCCATGTTCGATTTACAATCAAAAACATAAAATATAATTACAGCACAATGTGAATCACAAGGAGATTTATTGATCATTTGTACCAAAAATGCACATAAAACATCTGAACAAATTCATGGAACAGATCAAACACCAACAAGAGTAACGTGGGGAAATTGGTTTAATTAAATTATATGCTTAAAAATTAAGATTAAAATAAACAATTTTCAAATTTAAAGTGCAAATGAAAATATACCCTTATAATCTGCAAATTCATTTGAAAACTGCTTCAACGGCAGCAACCAGAAGGTGCCCTCCATATTGTAACAATCACTTTATTTAGTCTGCACAAACAAACAAAGTTGAGGGATGAAAACTTTTGTTTTTAACAAACTACTGCTCTCTTTTTTTTATTTGCCTCCTCATGAGACGCTCGTTCCTCCCGGACGGATCAGATCCAGTCTGGGTCCGGTGGGTGACGGCTCGCTGCCAGAGCCTCCAGTAGTTCTCAGTGTTTCGGGTTTTGGTTTTTGTTGAACCCATAAAGGGTTAGGGTGGTTGTAATGGGAAGAAGAGCCCTCATGTTCCGTCTGAAAACAGGATTTCATGCGTTTTGTTCTCAAAACTTCTCCTCACATGTAGTCTCTTCTCGCTTACAAAACATGGAACTGGCTTTTTGGTAGAGTCGCCTAGCAACCTCTCAGCCAATAGAATGAAAGCGTTGTGCTGGGTGCGTTTGTTTCCTCCTAGCGGGTGTGCCTGTGTGGATACTATCGATTGTAGCAGAAGC